TTCATACCCATGGATGCAGCCGCATACATTGACAACCACCCCGGCGAATTCGAGTCTCCTATTCAGTACTGTTTTTCACCGACTTTGATAGGCTATTGTGAAGCTGCTGATTGTCATCGTTTTATTTTATCCGATGTGCGCGCTGCGGGAAGCTCTTACACTTTGAGCATTTTGTGATTGTATTTACATGTTAATATATCACTTGAACCCTTATTGTATCATAACCTCCACAGATTTACATATTTTAGAAGATTATAGCTTATTGTAGAAATAGTGACTTTTTTGCAGTAACTGGCTTGTTTCGACTGCCTAGAAATAGTATTTCTCGTTTGCTGTCACCCAATAGAGTTTTTACAGAACTGCAAAACAAAATAGCAACAACAAGACTCGAACCCTCGACCATCTGCTTCGTAGTCCGCTGCGTTGCCACTGCGCCATTGCCACACTGCTGCGCTACCCTAGCGCCTCGCTCATCACTGGGTGCGCTGGCTGCGCCGGAGAAAAATGGCTTTGTAACTCCCCCCACAAAACCGCTCGGCACCTAGCGAAAGTAGTTTTGAGTTTGCCTTACGGAGGACGGTTTCCTAATATACAGCTCATTCCAAATGGCCACTTCGACCGAGTATCCTTCCCTTGTTAGTCGAAAGCACCAATCCAAATGAGACATATATCATCTTAAAGCGCTTGAAATGCTGATTCCAAATCTGCAGTCTTCAGTCAATCTGCAATCTGCAGTCAGTCAGTCAAATCTTCCAAAACAAAACCACCGCGAAAACCCACCAAAAGCTCCGTGCCTTATCGCCTCACTGCCGCTTCCCGCTTTCCTAAACGATAGGAAGTGTCCGTAGCCCAAAAGCTTAGAGGTTAGCTTAGATCGTATACTACGACTATGTACGGCCACGTTTGTAAACTCTGGATAAAGGTTATAACCAATGAAAAGGCAAGTAACAGTTAAGTGGATGAGTACGCAAGTACGCAGTGATACACACGCATAGATTGTTCTTTAGAACAGAAAATATGCTGATAATAGACCTTGAGGGTACAAACATTGATAAAACGAATCCATATGGGGAGCGGCGACAAAGCAATACACATTCCACCGCGATGAATATATTCACAAACATGAGTGAGGAACTGCCAGTGTTAGCGCGCAATGCAGGGGTTTCTCATGCGAATCAACAATCCATTCGCGCCTGAGTATCGTTCAGGCAACTGTCAGTTCTGATCCAAACCCATTTTCCTTATGTTGTGCAACACTTCCTCTGGAATTGTGTGCGTCTTCGTCGGTGACTGCAGCGCCTAAGAGAAGCTGTAATTGACTACGATTACAAACATCATGAAATGCCTGCAAAAGAGAGAGTAGTTGAAAATATATAGATATACCTCAAAGACAGACATTAGACAGAGAGAAACGCAAGACAAATATGGTACAGCAATTAGTGGAAGTATGAAAAGCCCTAATTTCATTTCTAGGAGGTAGGGAGACTTTATCAAGCCTTGACGATAAAAAGAGACAGAAACTAGTTCCACATCACAGCTGTAAATAATTATCGTCGATTCGTTGACTGCGCGGACTGGACATAACCGCGGAGCACGCGCCGCGAGGTAAATCGCTTGCTCCAATACAAGATCGCCATTGTTCTGCTCTCGCAACATGTTAACCGCGCCGCATGTGGTCCGCAGCGCTTCAGCAGTTAGGACGGTCAACGAATCGACGATAGCTGCGTTGACGAACGACTGCGTGCCAAACAATTTTCCGTAAAACTGTAAACCTTTTATGTGCTCACTGTACAAGTACAGTCGATTCATTTCATATGATCATGTGTGCACCCGCACACACCGTCCATCTTTGGCGTCCCCATCTCGGATTTGCGATCGCAAAAACGCGAGAGAGTGAGCAATTGCTATCGCTTACATCATTTAGAGATAAATAGTACCTAAAAAGAAAAGAAAACAGCGAGAAAACATCAGAATCGCTTAACGGAAGGGTTGCGTCCTCCAAGAATCCAGGATGGGTACGCCAAAGATGGACGGTGTGTGCAATGGCACACATGATCATATGAAATGAACCGACGGTACATCATTGAAAAGGTGCGCACTGTGTTTTGATGAATGCACTTGGCTTCGAAATGAGAATTTTACTTTTTGAAAAGGCCGATCGGTAGAAACACGTGCGACGAAAACAACTTACGCTGTGTGTGGCACTCAGACTAAACCTCAAATCAATCCTTCCTCACTCAATGAACTTTGCGTACAACACGCTGGCGTGGAGTGAGCCGTGATGGTCGTTCGTTGCGTAAAAGGTCATGTTTTCGCGTGTAATCCGCTGAGGCTGAGAGTTTTTTCTCGAAAAAATTATAAACACAGGATTGAAGTAGCAAAGCATAGCGACGCCCTCTAATCAATAAGCATTTCGAAAATGGACGCATGCGAAACGCAATGATGCAGATCTTTGAGCGCAAAGAGAGCACGCTTGTAGTCGAATGATTTGACAGCGGCGAAAATGTTGAGAGAAAGGCACTTTTATGTTTACATTCGTAAAATGAGTGAATAGATGGTTTTTTACGGTTTTCGAGAGAGTTTGAAAAAGAGTTTTTATTACATTGTGCAGTGGATGTTTTGATTCAAAAACAAACGGGGCTTTCATTAAGCACTTCTTCCGGTTGGATAGACAGTCAAACATAGAGAACAAAAGAAATCTGATATATAAAGAATCGTTAGCTCAATTCAAAAATCTTCAAATAGCGGGGAACCACGACGAGTCCCGAAGCAAACGCTCTTCCAAATAGCGCCTATGGCCCCGGGCAGACTTCACGCGATTCGATCGTCGCGACTGAATCGCGAGGGGACAACTGTTACAACATCATTCCATGCAGATCAACTTGCATTCGGTTGTGATACTTTTCCAGACCGAAATTTTTGAATGTGAAATGAAAATGAAAATCTTGGCGATTTGGTCGCGACGATTAAGTCGCGTGAAGTCTGACCGGGGCCTATAGGTACTGGTTCACTAGTACTTGAAATGAAGCACTGAATGATAACGAAAATGAAAAAAAGAAAAGCAAAGATGAAAACAAAGATTAGGCAACAAGAAATGAAAAAATGACGCGAGCCCACGCTGCCAATCTCGTTTGCCTGCACATCTAACTTTTCTGGTGCGATCAACAATGTCTCGAGCGAGCAACGATATGGCATCCAGTTGGCAGCCACAATACGGCGTTATGAATTAAGGCTGCCTGCTCATAGTATTGATGCGGCCCGCTGACAGAAATCTTGTATTCGCAGCCCCATCGTTTCACGGTCGCTGCCAGCTTAACGGAGTCGCTGCCTCATCGTCGCCTTTTGGCTGCTTTTGTAGGAATGAATGCGCTCTGCAGCTATTTTCTGACTCATGGAAGATTATAGCTGCCTGCTGGTAGCCCGTCGCTGCCCGCTCACCGCCATTCCTACAATGTCGTCGCCCGCTCACTGCCACTTTTGCAGTATCGCCGCCCGCTCAGTGAAACTGCCCTTTATCGCCGCCGGCTGAGAGCCTGTGATTGTCTGAGTAGAAGCGAGCGGGCTACAAATATGGCAATGAGCGGGAGGCTAAAGCTGGCAGCGGGCGGACTGCTATGAGGGCCTCAGCGGGAAGCGAAAGTGGCCGCGATGAGGCCACCGCGCTTTTGGTGGGTTTTCGCGGTGGCTTTGTGGCCGCCGGCTGAGAGCCTGTGACTGTCTGAGTGTGGGTCGGATTCTCCGTAGTCTTTTGGGGAAAAAATCAAAAGATACCTTCGCGAATTTTACCAAACGGCTTATCGAAGGCGCTGATTACCAAAACATGATTTATTACAATTTTTGGCGTTATGCGGTAAGGTTACGGTAATCATTTAGTACGAACCCAACATGGGATTTCATGAGAAGTGTGTTTGGGGCTATTTCAAGTGCTGATTACCATTATAGTGCCCACTTTGTCCGAAACTGTCCCACAGTAGGGTTACGGTAACAGTACGGTAAAATTTTCGCAAAGTCCAAGAAACTGGTGTAAGAAGGCGGTATTAAGACTTGAAACTATCATTTTCGTAATCAGCATACTAAAAAGCTACATATTAAAATTTAAGCTCCCTGGGAGGAGCATTGCAAGAAATCAATGAAATCGAAAAAATTTTACTGGGCTAACATCAAAAAAATCAACAAATCTTTTGCTAGCCATGAATTTCTCGTGCATGTACGCTTGAATTCTCAGAAATAGCATCATTCCGCGAAGAATTTAGCTAAAGTTTGTGCCTTATCTCTATCTGCATTACACTTACCGTAATATTACAATACAGTGTCCCGACCCCGGACCACTCTTACTGGAACTTCGCCTAGGTATCTTCAATCATGTGCCAGAACCCCGTAGAATTCCATCGTAAACTGACAAAGATAGAGCTTCAAGAATCTTATGACCCATCGGTGGGTCGTATTGTCCGAAGCGGCAGAACACGTACGATCCACCGGTGGGTCGTATTGTCCGAAGCGGCAGAACACGTTACGATCCACCGGTGGGTCGTATTGTCGTGAATGTGTTAAACACCAACGTGCGAGAAGGTTGAAAACATTGGGTCCCAAAGCGCTATAGGTTGTTGCAGGCGACAATGAGCGCGCATGCTCTCCTACATATCTTTACAAGCTTTTGAAGGAACTTCTCATCAAAATATACCTTACATTGTTGAAAACGACATGGAAGTTCCTTCAAAAATAATGAGCGCCTACACTTAGTACTAGGTTACTCTCTGGAACTCCCCTCAATGAAGAGCACCTGCAAAGTCACTAAAAATCTATTCGTTAAGGGCTGCTTATAGCTCCGCTTGGGGCAAGAAATATTCACAAAAAGTATCGCGAATTTCACTACACACGGCCAGCCAAGCTCGGGAAAATCCAGCCCATCGTACACAACAATAATGCAAATTCAATTTAATATACAATATGCTTCACTTCGTTAGATTATTACGAATTCAATTACTCGAGAGGCCACTCACGGTCTCTTCCGCTACTTTTGTCTGTGGTAGGCAAAATACATGGTCTTCACTCTTTTGTTGTGGAATTTTTTCGGCTCTAAATGTAGACGAATAAGCATCTCGATGTTGAACTGCAACTGGCTTACGGAGTTTTATCTGACTGTTTCATTGAACTTGCTGATGTGAGGGATTTTTCTTGAGCAGACTATAAAGCTGATTCTGTTCTAATAGTTCGCCTATATTGCACAGACTTACTCCTCCTGCAGGACGTCGTTTTCGAGCACAAAATGCAATGGACTGTATAAAAACCATAGCGGTTAGAAAGCCAACCAGCATTTACGAGCTCATCAGGATGCAATGAACCTTCGTAAGTTCAGCAATGAGTTAGAATTAACATCGGACAAAAACATTTTGGGAGTGTACGGCGATTCACACGACATTATACTGTTTGAGCACTTTCATACAACGCCCCTCACAGGTGACACAGCGGTAACTTTGAACGAACAAACAGCTAGGGGAGGGAGGGCGGGGGGGGGGGGACTGCGTGTGCGGCGTATCTAGGCACCGCTCAGATAATCGCCGGGAGCAGGCGGCCATGTGAATTTTTAGCAAACGGGCACCGGAAAAATAGTTCGCTGATTTCTTGCGGTCCGCTTGCAGAAATTTGTAATAATTTTGGCCAATTTTTGGACGAACGCTCGGAAAACTATCGCGGTCTTTCTGTGGATAAGTTGCGGGCCAGTTGCCGCATTCTCGCGGACTTTCCGCGAGAATATGCAAAAGTTGGAGGCCGCACGGTAATTTTTGAAGGAACGCACGCCCGTAGGTACCTTCCGCTCAAAGAAGGTACCTCAAACTCGGGTATTTGAACCATCGATGACACCTCGCCATGTAGAATCTCACCCTTGCTCGGCGTACGCCCAAAACTTAGTAAAAAGAGTCCGAGCGCTTGCTGAAAGTTGGGCCAGCTTTCAAAGAAATTATTTGCCGAGAGCTTGCAGAAAATGCTGTATTGCTGCCAGCTGGCTGATTATGCGACCGTAAAGGAAGTGCCTCCCGCTGAAGGTTTGGCCACGCCCCAAAATTTTACTGACCACTCAGATAACCGCCGGGGGCAGGCGGCCATGCGAATTTTGAGCAAGCGCGCACCGGAAAAATAGTTCGTTGATTTTTTGCCGCCCGCTTGCAGAAATTTGGAAGAAAGTTGGCGAAATTAAAGACGAATGTTTGAAGAACAATCGCGGTTTCTTTACGGATCAGCTGCGGTGCAGTGGCCGCATTCTCGCAGACTTTCCGCGAGAATATGAAAAATTTCGAGGGCCGCACGGTCCTTTGTGGAGGACCGCGCAGCCCCCAGGTACTTTCCGCTGGGAGAAAGTACCTCAAACTTGAGTAATTAAACCAACGGTGACACCTCTGCCACACAGAGTCTTACCTGCGCTCGACGTACGCCCGAAATTGCCTAAAAAGAGTCCGAGCGCTTGCTGAAAGTTTGGCCAGCGCTCGCTGAGAGAAATTATTTGCCGAGCGCTTGCAAAAAATGCTGTATTGCTGCCCGCTGGCAGAATATGCGACCGTGAAGGAAGTGCCGCCCGCTGAAGGTTTGACCACGCCCCAAAATTCTGCTGACCGCCTGCAGAAAAGCGCGAGGTTGCGGACCGCCTGCCCCGGCGATTATCTGAGAGGTTGGCTATCAAATACTATTGCGCAAAACTGCCGTCTCTTCCATTTTTATTATGTTCAGCATTTCACTAACACTGCAAAAATTCGCCAGATTCTGACATTCCCCCCCCCCCTTGCGAATCATGTATTTCCAAGGTTGTTGACAATCTACTCGACTTCTTGAGAGCGATCTCAATTTGTCTTAAACTAACAAATCTTTTCTATCAGGTCAGTGAATCAGCCTCTAATAAAATTTTGGCTACAGTAACAGTTCCACATGATTGATTCAGTCTGTGCTCAACCTCTTTTTTGTTTCGAAACCGTGGGACCAATTTCTCCATTTTTCTAAAAATGCATAAATCAAATCCTACATATAAGACGTTTTAAAGTATGCTTACAATTCATGACTTCCCACTGAGTCTTTTGCCGACATTTGAGTACCACTCATCAGAACTAGCTTGACTTATTGTTAGAGTCACTGCACAGTGCTAACCATTGATCTCTCGTCATTGATGTTGTACGATAGAATTAGGATAAAAACTTTGAGAAGGGTAGTATATACAATACGTTTAATGAGGCCAGCGCCGCGTAGTCACACCTCCATGCGCGAGCGTTACCGTACGCGCAGCATGCAAGGACCAAGCTGTGCACAACATTGCGGCCCTTGTTTTTATAATTGGAACTTGTGATTTTCCGTTTTCGCAGCAGGCGGATTGCCATTTTTCTTGCTTCTATGCTCACAAGCGATCTTCTTGATACCGGATATGATTTTTGCAGCATAGGACGAAAGTATATCATTTAGGCGTTTTCTTTATGACATCTTTCGTTTCATTCCGGCGCCTTCTTCGGATGGCTGATTTCGAATGATCCATTAATCTACTCGTGTTTCAGCGGACATAATCGTATACCGTTTAAGTTTGAGTGAACAGCGCCAACGCGGTGTTCACTCAAACTATTCTCTCAACCTGTACTATGTACGATTACACCTCACACATTCACTTTTAGCTGTAAGGAGGAAGAACACCAGCCGTTTTCAGAATTCTTAAATGATGTGATTCAGATTACATCTTCTTTTAGACCTCAAACCTCCATTTGGTCTTCTATTCTCTCGATGATACTTTGAGAGATCTCAAGAAGTACTTAAGCAGAATTTCAGGCAGTAGAAGCTCAAAAATTTGGAAGCAGACAATGAATAAGCTAAGAGAGAAGCAGGAAGACTAGCTAAAACAAGGACCACGTCGTCGACATGGTCCCTGCACGCTGCAGCACACAGTAGCGCTCGCGCGCAGGTGTGTGACTGCACTACGCAGCGCTGGCCCCATCAAATGCATTGTAGCATAGCAGTTTTTTTCTCAATTGATAAAAAGTTGAAGATAAAATGGCTACTAACCGAAAAACGAAGGCAAGGATTCCCGTTTTGACGGCTATTAGGTTGTTTCGAAAGTTCGTTCGTACAGTTTTCAAAAAAACCTGACTTTTTTCTATGGCACCGTTTTACTCAAGTTAGATTTTATTAGAAAGTGTAAACTTTCTAAAAGTGGCCTAATAGCTTTCCGCTAAGTTGAAATGTTTCACTACTGTAGACTTTGTTGTGTACTGCTTAAAGAATATTTCATCGACATGATCTCAGCTGATACTGAGGATGTTTTTTTTTTTGATAATGTCACTGAAAAAAATAAAGATGCAATGGGTTCCCTATGGAGGACAGGCCTGCAGCTGATCGCACTGTTGGGACCAGTTTTCTGTTAGCAGGTTACTTATGGTCAATAGTTGTTGGACTAGTTGGAATAGTTGCCGAAATTACCAACATACAGTCGAGTAGATTTTCCGCTTAATATAGTGTGCTTGCACTGAAGGTGAAATGCGGTAAAATTTGCGCGTGAACAACTACCACGCCAGTAATGCCAACATTTTGCGCGCGCAAATGGCCGGCGTCACAGGCGTAGATATGAGCAGCTCCACAACTTTGGCGAGGCGGAGCTGCGCTAGCGTGCCTTGCGTTGCGGTTGCCCCTGTGCTGAGGCATACCTGATCCATCGATCTTTGGTGAAGATCACACCCCGCCTCGCCAAAGTTGGGAAGTCGACATTATTTCTTTACGCGCAAATTTTACCGCATTTCACCTTCAGTGCAAGCACACTATATTAAGCGGAAAATCTACTCGATTGTACATTGTCTTTATTGGGCTTGTTTGTCCCATAAATTGCCTTCGAATTTTCGTCCCAATATGTCCGATTTTTCTTGACTGCTAAAAAAGCTGGTACCTCTCGATAGAGCAAAGCAAGCCTCAGAAAGTGGCTTCCAAACTTCTGCACAGAGTTTTTACCACATTGAGCTAAAAATTATAATCTTAAAGCTTCCGGAAACCGGAAACTCGAGAAAAAATTCAGAACTCTTCTCAAAAAATCTCTAGGAAGCTAAAACTTGTTCACGCTACACTCTTCATTTGATATTTTTATGCATTTGCTGTAATACAATGCTAGAAATTGAAGACAGATATGAGCAGAAGATACGAAAAAGTCGCTTTTTTTCAGATTGTTTGACGCTATATTTGGGATTTCTTGAAGACAAAAAGGCTGAAAGTTTGTTGCCATAATAGTTTGAATGCAAATCAAATGCATATTCCTCATTCTGAAGCGGCAGAGAAGATATAGAAATTTACAAAATGCATCATTTGATAAAGCAAAACGAGCAATACAAGATACTGTTTGAACAGTCGCAAAAGGTTCCATCTATGTGAATGCAGAAAAAATCGACGAAAACTTAAACACCCGAGAATCAGATTTACGTCTAAAAAGATCCTGCGAACTCCCAACTTGGCCGAGCACTTACTATACGCGCAAAAATATTCATATGTACAAATGCCGTAATTTTTTTTATAAATGGAAACTTTAAAAAAATGGGCCAAAAAATCGCAAGTGTCGTTTTCGGGTTTTTTTATGTTGAACTTGATATTTCTAAACCTAACGCCTAGAGAAGGCTGAAAATTGGTTGTTATATTTCCAAGGGCTTATAGTACGGATTCATTTATGTCGAGAACATACCAAATTTTATTATCTGAACTTCTAGCTAAGGAAGAAATACAGCAAGTGTACGTATGCGTAGCTGATGCGACAAGTAATTTTTGTGAGCAACTCAGAATTTTGCCGAATTTTTCTACACGAGATCTGATTTTGCGCATTTGGAAATTTTTAGATTTTCTTCCTAACCTTCCGTGTCCCAGATTTTCCGCTATTCTTATTGTTAGAACACCATCTTGTAGGGTCTGTTTTGCCCTGTTTCAATGGTCTTTATACCATACCTTTGCTGCCGCCAAGAGTTAGCAACATGCATTAACCGTCAACTCAATGCTTCTAAAGACTTATACTATAGAATCAGCGGTATGGGACCAGCTCAGCTTCCCTTTGAGAAAAACGCCTTATTTCGTGATTTCTAACAATGCAAAATAATTCAGCAAATGTTCATATGAGTGTTGAATGGATTATGTGCCTGAACCGGTTAGAGTTTCGCAGAAATTTTCTAAGCAATGTTCTGAATTTTCTTCTCATTTTCGGGCTCTTGAAAGTTTCCAGAATTCGATTATTTCTCAGATAGAATGAATTCTGTAGCGAAGTAAAAATTCGAGATCTAAAAATTTACACAAACCCGGA